GGAAGAACATGGTTTTATTCACGAAGGGCACTGGGGGTGAGGATCAGCCACGGATAACCTGTGCCTGCAAACACTGCAAGATTTCATGAAATGTAAACAAAGTTACATAACGATGAAATAAAGACACAAATACAAATAATTTTTACAATTTTTTTACATATAATACATAGTAGTTATTGCCAAATCCATATACAGCATAATTTTGAAGAATAGGACCTAAATAAAAAGAATATAATAATGCCCTATAAGGGACTCCAGTGCTCGCCCAACCATCCGCTTGGGCGAAAAGGGAGAGAGTGACAAGTAAGGCTGGTCACATGACTGTTTGCACGGGGAAAAGGACAAAAGGGAGGTAACTCGTGGGTGAGTTTATTTTTACGTCCGCTTCGGGAACTTCAAGGGATTCAAGTGTTCCACTACCATTCGAAAAGGAAAGGGAGATAAGCAAAAGATCATGAGTCAGGATAAGAAACAATTTCCACACTAAGGCTCTATATTATTATATATATCTCTAAACGATTGGCATACAGCCATATACAATGGGGATGGGAAGCCTGAAAATATGGTGTAAAAGCAACGGAGAAGATGATGCCACACACAGAGAGCTATTATGAATTTAGGATGTACGCACTTGGGCAGAAACCTTCCAGTCAATATATCACAATACATATTGCAACATATCGCAATATGAAAATCAGGGCAATATCCAATTGTTTGTTGTGACCAGAAAGTCGTGCTGGAATACGGAATACACAGGTGCCAGATTAGACAATGTTTTAATGATCATAATATCGTTGTAAAATGGCGGGACCAAAAGTTTATGTCGGTTTTGACAGTGTGCCGGATTAGACAGGTGCTGGTGTTGGCAGGTTTCACTGTAGTAAATAGTGCCGCTATGTCAGCTGCACACATAAAACAACAAGAGTCATCAGAAGATGACATATCCCCCCGGCCCCCACATATTTGAAAGAACAAATCATCTGACAGTTACGTAAAGTCCAGCTTGACTTTTTTCCAAGTCCAAATCATTTCCATGGAAATCATGAGAAATATAAATGCCAAAAATCTGTGGATAGCAAAAGGCACCATTTCAAAATTTGCCTAATATATCTGCCAAGTTCTGTTGAAAGATACTGAATGCTTTTCGAGTTGTGCACTGGAAATGAAGCTTTTGGGACTAAGTCCTAATCGTTTCCATGGAAACCGGGAAAAATAAATCTGCCAAAAATCTGCCAAATAGCAAAAGGCACCACTTTGGCATCTGCCTCACATATCTGCCAAGTTTTGCTGAAAGATATTAAGAAGTTTTCCAGTTGTGTTCCGGAAACGAAACCCACCCCTCCCTTTTGAGACTAAGTCCGAATCGTTTCCATGGAAACCAGGAAAAATAAACATGCCAAAAATCTGCAAATAGCAAATGGCACCACTTAAGGTTCTGTTTGATACATCTACCAAGTTTTGTTGAAAAATATTGAACGGTTTTTGAGTTATGCTCCGGAAACGAAGCCCAACCCCGCTTTAAGACTAAGTCCAAAACGTTTCCATGGAAACCGAGAAAAATAAAAATGACAAAAATCTGTAAATAGCAAAAGGCACAATCTTAGGTTCTGTTTGATATATCTACCAATTTTTGTTGAAACATATTGAACGGTTTTTGAGTTATGCTCTGGAAACAAAATGATTACGGACGGACGGACATACGGACGAGGCGTCAACTATATACCCCCGCATTACATGCGGGGGATAAAAGTGGCATGTTCGAATTTTAGGTACAAAGCCTTGCAGTTGTTTACAGGTAAGGTACTGACGTTATATTGTTTTTCACAGAATTAACAGTGAAATGAAACAGATTTCCCCATTACTCACACGTTCCACTTTCACAAAACAACTTCCTGTTGTAGCTTTTATCAGCATTACTTGGTACAGTTATTTGACATTGTGTGCAAGGCTGCATTAAATACATTTATATGCCTTTAACTCTAGATGAGCAGTCCGATCACAAATCTGTAAATAATCAGGGCAGGATAGCCAGCTCGTGAAGCAATCAACATTGTCTGGGCACAGTGACTCAGGTTTGACACAATACACACCTAATCTCCTAGATCAAGGTTGATTCATTTCATTATGCCAGTTCTGTGATAAATAACACAAACAATTAGCCCCACTATCTGCATGGTTCATCTCTAGGAGCCAATGAGGCTACTGCTTATCACAATCCATGTATTCCATTTGTGGCTCTACATATTAGCATTTCCAATTTCCAAGAATAATCTATATGCTGTGAGCAATCAATGATCGTTTCACCGAAAGCAAATTAAATAATGTTGGTGGAAGACATCATCATATGAAACAATCGCTGCAAATAATTAAATATTGAAGGGAAATGGGAAAGATTCATATTATAAGTTAATATTAGGGCTGCAACGAATACACTATGTGGCGAATATGATACGTATCATGAATATTGGGTAACGAATACGAATAGTTATTCACGAATACAGTATTATAGTTAAGTTATTGATGTACAATATGGTACGCCCATGTTGACAGTTTTGATTTGTCATTGCAATAACCAGTGATCTCATGACACTCAAATTTGGTATGTAATAGTTATAGTTGACAGTACCATGTGCGGCCTTGGCAAACTAACATGACTTGTGCTACTGGAAGGCTAGTACATATTCCATCCTTGCATATCTCACTTTTCAAAAGAACACAAAGGTTCAAGTAAAACATGCTCAAAATCGTAAATATTCATTAATATTCGGTTCTGGTGACCATTAATAACGAATTGAATTCATGAAGGGCTACGGTTCGATTCACCGAATATGCAAGTAAATCGTTACAGCCTTAGTTAATATAGTACTCAAAAGAAGTTACAGGGACCCATTTACTTCAAGGCCGATTAACTTTAGTAATAAGAACTTTTAACTTCTGAGGGGTATACATATCCTTATCCATATATGTAAAGATTGACATTAAAGCTGGCAAATGCTTCCTTTCATTCTATTTCGCCGTGACAGGCAGATTGGTTTGCACACAGCTGTTTTATCTTTTACTGAGGCCACTGATACAATCTATATTTGTCTAGCATGCTTATGGACAGGATTGATGAGATTTTGAAGTGATTCCTGGCACTACCAGAAACTGATATTTCGGTCAGGCTATCTGGAATCAACTTGCTGTAAGGCTTTGTTATCATTGTAATATCCTCCGAGAAAGGGGGCGGTGGGGTAGCCGAGTGGTTAAAGCGTTCGCTCGTCACGCTGAAGACCCGGGTTTGCTTCCCAACATGGGTACAATGGTGTCCCTGTCTGTGAAAGTGTGTAGTCCATCGTCACTGTTTTGAGCTTTTATCATCCTGCTGATGCATTATCTGAGACCTCATTGTCGTAGTGTGTGGAGCCCATTGCTGGTGTCCCCTGCCGCGATATTGCTGGAATATTGCTAAAAGCGGTGTAAAACTAAACTTACTCACTCACTCCACTGACAAAGTGTTGTAAATGCCCACAGGAAGTGATGGCTTTTAACAGGTCAATCATTCATTGGAAAATTGTACTAGTTCCTTGGTTTACACACGTATACTTTATAAACCTGAGTATTTACCTATGAACAGTTTGTGTTGCAGACTAAATGGATGCTTGTTACAATAGATGGTTTAACATTTCTTTCAATATTTTAGAAATAACATGTTTTGTCACAATACTATCTTTGAAAAAGCAAGGGATCTAACTAGAATTCCAAATGATGTGCCCTTGGCAGTCAAATTTGGAAGCATTTAAATATTCTCACATAGAGCAGATGCTGTGAAGGGGTACTGTCAGGGTTCCAATATTTTTATGAAAATATAAATACCATGATTTTTCTATGATCTTTCAAGACAAATATTGCTTTTCCCAGACACAATATATGTCCTTAGGTATTTTGATACCTTTAAACATATATTACTCTGTCTGAAATAAAACAATATCTTAAATACGGCCTCCCATCTACCCTTACAGCTGCCCATTCACACCTCTTTAGGATAAGATGACTATGTCATAATAAAAATGAAATTAAACATCAAGTGTAGTAATATTTCTTTTCCTCTTTAACTATCTTTATAGACATATAACAATATGTTGATGGCTGCCATAGCCCTTGTAGTACTGTTAAGATATGCAGTTTTGTTAGATATAAAAAAAACCCAAGATTATTCCATGATTTCATCCATTTGTTTTCAAATTCCATGATTTTTCCAAGACTTTAAAATGGGGTGTGAAATTTCCAGGTTTTCCAGGTCTTGTGGGAACCTGACTGTGGAAGCAATTGCTCTAATGTTGTGCTGATTATTGGCACTTTGGGAAAGGAGGACATCAGACTAATACGACTGTAGTATGACTGTACGTAAATATAGAGATACGCCCTTCGAAGCAAGCCCTCTGATTGGTTGACGCTTGTAAATCTTCACAGCTTTCATAAATTCGCGGGAATTTTGAATTTCATCGCCTGCTTCACTTGGAAATGTAAGAATTATTTTTCCAACAATGGCTGCTCAAAAGAATGCATCAGCTGTAAATGTCCCCTTGAAAAAACATCGACTAATCAGAGGGCTTGCTTCAACCACATCCTGCTTTGTGCGGACCTATCGTCATCCATTTGTACCTAGATTGTTACGTTGAGGGTCAAAATCGGCTTGCAGAAATAACAACAAAGCATTGGTAGGCGTCATGAGTTGTGCTTGATAGGGCAATCATCCATGATTATGTTTAAATTATGTTTTAATCGATTGCATGTGATGATAGAGTAGTGATGGTAGAGTAGCGATCGGCAAAGCAGGCTAGTGGGGTATACCTAAGCGTCTGGCCTGGTCATGATTTATTGTACTGGGAAGCATTTCGAGTCATGGGTCATCTCAAATTATATATTTTTTCAAATCTTTAAGACTCACAAAGACACGAGAGCCTGTGTATATAGTAACATAGTTTGGTTCAAGTCTAGTCCTGATTCAGTGACCTTACCTTTTCTTTGAGAGCATTTCTCCTGAAAAATGCTTTACAAGACTCGCAGGTGATGGCATTGAAGTTGTAGCCCAGAGCCTTGTCCCCGCAAACACCACACAGCTTGTCGTCTTTCAGTTTGATTCGTTTCCTGCAAGGTTGGCCCTCGTCGTGGTAGGCCATCTCATAGGTGCTTCCTGTGGGAATGTAATTTTTGAGTAAAATTGATATTTTATACTTATCCTGACTCATGCTCTTTTGCTTGTCTCCTTCCTCTTAAGTAACATAGTGGAACACTTGTATCTCCCTAATTGAAGTTCCCTTCAATGTAAAAATCACTAATTAGTACACCACGAAGTTACCTCCCTTCCACAAGCTGAACGAGGGCCACCTCTACCCATGTGCCTCACTCTCTCCTCATATACTGAGCCCAACATTTGAATTTACAGGGAAATCCAAAGTGTTATTTGGGGAGGATGGGAGGGTTGACTCATGAGTCAGGATAAGTATAAAATATCAATTTTACTCAAAAATTACATATTTTTCCTTATCCTGACTCATGCTCTTTTGCTTGTAGAATCCAACAGAGCCGGAGGTGGGAATATATAATACTTTGGATTTTAATAATTAGTGATTTGAACTGTGATGATTGTAATAACCCCATGGGAACTTCATAAAGGCATTGAACTGATGAATTCCTGCTGCCAGCTTATCAGCTGCCATATAGAGGTTATTACAATGTACTTATTATGATAAGTATATATAATATTAATACAATGCTTAAGACTAATAGACTTAAGCTTGTTAATATGCTAGTATAAACTCCTTAGAGTTTGTTAGCTAAAATACTTTAAGATATAAACATAGCACTAAGCTTAAAATATGATTAATTTTAAGCTAATTATATAATAACAAACCCTTTAGGGTTTGTTAGTTAAAATATTTATATGATATAGACAGTGCTGAGCTTAAGATATGAATAAGCTTAGCTATATATATAACAGCAAACTTTGTAGAGTTTGTTAGCTAATACATTTTACAATATGAGTATAGTATTGTGCTTAAGATATAATTATCTTAAGCTACATATATAATAGCCAAACTTAGTAGAGTTTGTTAGCTAATATATTTTACAATATGAGTATAATACTGTGCTTAAGATATAATTAACTTAAGCTACATATATAATAGCCAAACTTAGTATAGTTTGTTAGCTAATATATTTTTACAATATGAGTATAGTACTGTGCTTAAGATATAATTAACTTAAGCTACATATATAATAGCCAAACTTAGTAAAGTTTGTTAGCTAATATATTTTTACAATATGAGTATAGTACTGTGCTTAAGATATAATTAACTTAAGCTACATATACACAATAGCCAAAAACTCTGTAGAGCTTATTAGCTAATAGATTTATAATGTAACCATAGTACTAAGCTTAAGATATGATTAGATTCTTAAGCTAAATGTATATAGCAAAAAACTCCTTAGAGTTTATTAACTAATATACTTTTATGTTATAAACATAGTACTGAGCTTAAGATATGATTAAACTTAAGCTATATATATATAATAGTAAAACTCCTCAGAGAGTTTGATAGCTAATACATTTTATTATGTTGATTTAGACCTAGTATTGAGCTTAAGATATGAAGTAAACCTTAAGCTAAATATATAATAGCAAAACCTTTTAGAGTTTTAATAGCTAATATACTTATATGGTATCAACATAGTATTGAGCTTAAGATATGAAGAAACCTTAAGCTACATATGTATAGCAAAACTCCGTGAGTTTGTTAGCTAATACATGATATAATGTAACCATAAAGCTTAAAATATGATGAAAACTTAAGCCCAATATATAATAGCAAAAACTCTTTAGAGTTTTGATAGCTAATATACCTATATGCTATAAACATAGTACTGCGCTTTAAGATATGAATAAGCTTAAGTTACATATATAATAGCAAAACCCATAGAGTTTGTTAGCTAATACATGTTATAATGTAACCATATTGCTTAAGATATGATGAAACTTAAGCCAAATAGCAAAAGCTCTTTAGAATTTGTTAGCTAATATAGTTATATGATATAAACATAGTACTGAGCTTAAGATATGAATGAGCTTAAGCTACCTATATAATAGCAAAACCCGTGAGAGTTTGTTAGCTAATGTATTTTACAATATGAGTATAGTACTATGCTTAAAATATACTTGACTTAAGCTACGTGATATAATAGCCAAAAAAACTCTGTAGAGTTTGTTAGCTAATGCATTTATCATGTAACCACTGTGATGATAAAAACGAGCTTAAGCAAATTATATATAGCATGAAGCTATTTAGTACTGTTATAAGATAAGTAAAAATCTGTAAGATTGACTTATCTTCTCCGAGGAACTGTCAACTGTTGTGCAAGGACCATGGGATCAAATTGGTGGATACCTGAGATGTCCTCGTGGTGATATCTCTCAGATAATGGTTGGCAACCACCATATCGGATCTACAGTAATAAACCCTCCATTATTTCAAATAACATTTGTGTAGATGAAATTAGAAGTTAGCTTCCTAATATCAAGAGTATTAAAGCTCATGGAGGGTCGGATTAGGTCCATCTGTCTTGTATGCACGTAGTATGACAGTTCTGATCCAAACGGAGATATAGTACGTGAGACTACACTCTGCGTAAGTTGATGATAGAGGAAAAAAATCTGTTGTATTTTTTCTTCCTGTTTGGTTTGGTGGAGATAAATTTACAGTGCTCTTGCTGGCCAGCTGATAGCATCATCGTATCATGGAGTCCAAGTATGTCATCCAGGCATGTTCATAAACCTCACTTGTGAGGTGTTGTAGCACTATATTCATATCCCCAAGTTGGTACGCGAAACTTCCGCTTATTCTCCAAACAGAAACTTAGTAGGTTTACTAACCATCTAGTTGTGTTAGTAGCTTGATGATGAAATTCAGGTGTAGTCTGAAACGCTGTGGATTTCGGGATCCACTTGTATCACGCCGCCTAGGTAAATCGCTATGCATGTCCTTTGACGATGTATGTGCACAACCGGGAGTTTGTGTCCCCGATGAACTTTATGTAAAATCGCCTGACTGCTGTGCCCTTGTCTAAACTTGACAGGGGAGGTCTCTAACCTGAAGAAAGCAGCCTAATCATGAAGGTTCAGGTTAACTGGGCTGTAAGGAGGCTTGCTCGCTCATTGATATAAAGTTGTCACTTGCAACCTATGTCTTGAACTGTGAACTATGCCTCGACCTCTGTGTAGGGCGTTGTTCATCGGGTCCAACTCAGAATAAGGCATTTTGATTCTGTAGAGTACCCGCTTCGTGATGTCACCGTGTAGCAGGAAAAGGAACCTTGTATAATATAGTGTCAGCTGCTGATATTAGAACAATCGTCGGTCTTCATCGTGAACTTCCCCGGTTACCCGAAAGTGACCACGGTTTCGAGGATTAATGGTAAACGCTACGAAAGCTTCAAGCAAAAATACCTTGCCTGTAATATTAATGCTGGGTAGGTTATTTTCCTGGCTGTCGTGGAAAGTGCTTCAGTTTTGAATATAATTCCGACTTTTTATATATAAAGGTACAATAACTTGTGTTGTCAGCTTGTAGACTGTATACATGAATGTATCGGCCATAATTGTAGAATTAAAGCTGAATTTGTTGTACATATTTCTTCTCAGAAATGTTGACGATTATGAGTTATACTCGCTGTAACAAGGCTGCTGTTCAATTTCGATATTGAATTGTGTCTGCAGATATGCGTAATGGTCACGCATGTAGATAATCGTATCGCCGTCCGATTGCATATACCAGCAATTTTATACGAATAGTTGATTTCTGTGAAGATCTATGAAACGCCGCTGACAAATTAATACAGCCGACGTTTCTGTGTTGTAAATAGCCTGTGCAATTGTCTCGCTAGAGGCTTATAGATCGCATCTGGCATACAGTTGATAGACAACTTATGCGATAGTCTTGAACGGACTGAGGAGTAGCTATATATGACGAGTGGCTAGTATATGGAGACCTTGGAGGAGACTCGGTGAACGCCGGAGACTTCACTGGCCTCGGCATATCCCTTCTAGATCTACTGGTGAAGTAGACTTGGAGTTACTTTAGCCTTCGCGACCTTCGCGAAGGTATCGAGTCAAAGTCCGATTAGAATATATATATATATATATATAAGCTTTGCTTGTCGCTGCGAATGGCCTCTGTGTTTAACAGGATGTGGGTCGGCGAAGCTTACCCTCCGCGACGTCCCTTTGTAGCTGGTGAGGCTCTAGTCTTCGCGGAGGCGGCCTGGGACTTGCTGGTTCTGCATGGGTGAAATGGCCGTGGATTCATCTTATCATTTTCAGAAGTCGTGTTACGAAATCTGGCGATAAGTGTCTCAATGATCGCTCTAGATCTATTTAGGCCAACGAACATACGCCTCGTCATGGATTCAACTGAACCAATTTACGATTGTAGTTCTTATTGTTGATATCGATGATCAACTTGTAGTTTTCATCGATGTCTTAAGCATTGAAGAAGGGGTCCATACAGTGCGTGGAAAAAACTTCTAGGCGGAAAGTTCGGCAATTATGGTGTCTGGAACTTTTGTGGCTTTATGGGATGCTATGTCTAGATTCTGTGCACCGCAGCAATCGGGTCGATCGGAGGTAGGGCGATGATAGCATCTGCGCCGCCTTCCCTTCATCAGGTATGTCTGCGTCGTACTGCCACCCAGGGAAGGTGGATGTAGACTCTGTGTGCAGACTCTGTGTGGTAACCTGTGAGGCGATCGATGTGGTGATGTACGAGGGAGATCGGAGACTATTGACAGCTTCGCGAAGCCTGAGTAGTCCCTTGACTCTGTTAAATGACGATCTATATTCGCGTGTCCTTCTTCCTGAGTGCCTCGCGAATGCTCTTCGCGAACGCCTTCACGAACGTTTCAGTGAACGCCTTCCGCTAAGCTTCCCCTTGCGTTCGGGTGCTGGGGAACGGCGATTTGAGCTCATGAAGGCTTCCGTGAGGTCTGGTGGCTGAGTCTGCGGTGATCTAAGGATGAAGCCGAGGAATGATGATTCTATCCTGCCTTCGCCAAGGCCTTCGCTGAAGGTTGTACATCTGGGTCCTCAATAAGGTGGTCTGCGACTTTCCTTCTGCGAAGGCTGCATCGTCTTGGCTGCTACGTTGA